ACACTGTATTATTTAGGGAGTGGTGATAAGTAAGATGCCTGTACATGTCCCATACATGCGTTTTCCTGAATATTTTTGATCCACAGCTAGTTGAACTCACTGCACTTGGTTACAGATTGGTCAAATGTGTTTATTGATGTAGTAGCAGGCTAAGTTCATTTAATTCATTTCTATTAAATTTTACTCCTAATCTATTGCATTTTAATCATGAAATCGGTATCATTATACCCAAAGCCTTTGATAAAACATCAAAATTGATCAGATGCTGCAACTGTCAAAGATAATTATGTAGCTGCCCCTTTTTCTATTAATGAGATGAATTGTAGTGATTACTTTTTATTCCTGAAATAAACCTGCCTCACAATGATATCATCTGATATCACAATGATATCATTTAGCTTGCTAATATCAGATGCTTTGCTAATATTGAATGACATGGTTTTAAGCCATTTGGCCCATGTTAGCTATTTTAATTGTCAACGATAGTCATAGAGAAGTCATTCTTGTGTTATTATTCCAAGGTACAGAGGAGGAGTGTGGGTACAGAAGTAGAGTAGCTTGTCTGTGCTCTCAGTGGTAGAATGACCCCTCTCCAGCCATCAGATACCTAAGCTATGGACTCTGCCTGCTGTCCTGTGTCACCAGAGGGAGACTGTCTCAATGCTTTGCTCCTCAGCTATGAGTGGAGCATGAAGGACTGGATCTGCCTGACTTCCAGTGGCATAGGGACACTTTGTTCCCCATGTCTAGGTACCCTCAAAGGGCATTAACTGGGCAAGTCTTCACATGATTTTTCAAAAGTGTGAGAGCACTTCCTGTGGGTTTGAGTTTTGCTTGCTTCTGCTGCCCACCAGGCGCTCTATCTAGGCAACACCATCATATTGCTGTGGGGTCCCCAAGCAAGCCAGGCACCTCTGGGTCATGTGCATTGATTTACAAAGGCTCTCAAGCCCCTTGAGTAATTTTGTGAAGCCCCAGGGCCCTGTTCCTGTTGGCACCTGCGGGATCATCACTGGGTCATCCACTGCCTTGCCAGATACCCAGCTTTAGCCCAGGAACAGGCATAGACCCCTTTAGAGAGTGTCTGTAGAGACCAGCGAACTTGACCTCATGGAGCCAGGCCCCAATTCTCCCTGCAGTATTCTAAAAATGCTCAGATGCTTGTACCTAAAACAACCTGACCAGGCGCCTGGCCTTTGAGTACCAGTTGCTGTCTAGCATAGGCATCTGGCACAGGTGGCACTGTGCCAACCCAAAAGAAAAACCAAGATGAGGAAGATGGAGATGGGTTCCCCATAGCTCCCTTGGTGTCTCTGTGAGGAACCATTCTCAGTGCTGGCAAGGAGACGTGGGGAATCACAGAGCCACCTATAAATAGCTCTTACTGTCGGAAGCATATTGCACTTTGGCAAGAGGAGGAAACTTCCTTGGGGCTGGCAGCGGGTTCCCCCGCACTCTGGCTGTGGATGCCAGGAGACTACTGAGCAGTCAGTGAGGCAGGTGTTGGCTTCTGCCCTCACCCTGGGTCTAGCTCAGCATCAGAGCAGGTGGCATTCAGCAAAGCAGTGGCTCCAGGGTGCTGTCACTGCTGGGATGCTGTGGACCCAGAAAGTGCATCCAAAGGCCACTCAGTCCAGCGCCTTGGCATCTTTATTGCTGTGAAGATGTTCACATGTGCTGCCATACCCCATCTGGCAGGATGGCTGGCTTTCTCGGCACCTTGCTGAGCACTGCTGTCACCCAGGTGACAGATGGGACGGGATGGACATTGTCTTGGTTTGCTCAGGCTACTGTAACTGAACACCATATAGCAGGCAACTTAAGAACTATAGAAGTTTATTTCTCACAGTTTGGGAGGCTAGAAATTCCAGATCAAGGCTCAGCCTTCATAAGCAGGACTGCAACTCTCAAGGGTGGGAAGCCAAGGGCTGCAGTGGCACTGGGGTTTGTACCAGACTACAGTGTGTGGCGTAGAGCAGATGTGTTGACAGCACCAGGAAAGACAGCAGGCAGTGCCTGATGTGAGTGGGAGGTGGAAGTTCACATTCCCTGTGGGCCTTTTCTGCCATACTCATAACCCCCATCCTTCCAGGGCACCTCAGAACACTCTGAGCCCCAGTGCACCCAGGACCTTTGCCACAAGACCTGTGTAATCTTCAGGCCCCGCAGTGGTGGTACCAGCTCTTAGCAATGCCTAGTTTTTGAGTTGTTTGTTCTTGGATCTGTGGAGGATGCTGCACCATGGGCACTGGGCCAGGGGAAGGTAACACGAGTCAGTGGGAGCCCCTTAAACCCTCAGGTCTCCTTGATGGGGTGGGTGCAGGGACTGAAGGATGTCAGGACAACCTCATGCAAATCAGGTCAGAAGATTGAAATAAGCCCCGCTTATTTCAGGCACAAAGATGGGAACTGGGGGGAGGGGGGGTTGGGCCTGGACCTACCTGGCAGAGTGCTGTAAGTGCTGCCTTTGGGGTAGAAGGAGGACTCTGTCCACTGCAGAATGCAGGGGTTTAGGTGGACTTGTCCCCTGCATTTCCTCCAAGCCCCGTGGGATGTCTGCAATATAGGCATGCTGTGATACTCCAGTAATAACATGCTGAGATGCACAATAGAGAAGATAGCAGAGGTCCCAGCGCTGAGGTTTCTGTGGCCAGGAGGGGTGTGGACAATGTGTGTGGCAGAGCCTAGGCTCCAGCCACTTCTCCACAAGACACAGTCTCCAGTGTCCCTTCCCCAGCAAAGCCAAGTCCACCCTGCTTTGTCACTTTCCAACCATCAGTGTGAGCATCCTAACTCTTAATAGATTGTCATAGTACAGATTTTGATGATGTGCCTTGCAGAGCATGAGATTAGATTACTGTTAAGCATAAGCATTTGAGGTGCCAAGGAGAACCCAATTGTCAGTTTCTGAGTTATAAAAACAGATTAACCCCATCACCACCACTACTAGCTAGTTGATTCTGTGAAATGCGAGCTGTGCTCTCTTTGGAGTCTCACTCCAGAGACATGGACAGGACAAGCACTTCTGTTGGAAGAGGTGTAGCCCCCAGATAATGCTAATGTCCCTGCATCCTCAGGGGTCTCTGTGTCCCTGAATGTCAAGGGCAGAACCCTTTGGGCTCCAGGCATCAGGTCCTGTTTGCCCTTGTTCTCCGTGCAGTGATCTTGGTGTCTATGGACCTGTTCTATCAGCAAAGAGTCCCCCATCACAGACATCATGGAAAACCCCGGTCAGCGCATGGAGTGCTTATAATTGGGCATGACCACAAGAAGCACAGTACAGAGGCAAATCCCAGGAGGGGCCATGCTAGGGCACTGCAAGGTAAAGACTCCACCTGCTCAAAAGCCACTTCTGAGGCCTCCTCTGCCTTCACCCTGAGCTGGTCTAATTCATCTCCCAACACCTGCTGACCCATCAGGGTGGATCCCCAGCCGGGTCTCCTATTGACTTTCTCACCTGCTGCTCTGCACAGGTGGAATTTTGTCCTTTTAAAAACTTGTGTTAAAATACACATAACATAAGCCCCACTGTATTAGCCATCTTTAGGTGCACAGTACAGTGCCCCAGGGAGAGAGAGAAATAGTCCTTGACTTGCAGTGGTTCAACTTAAGATTTTTTTAGTTTTATGACAGGACGAAAGCAACATGCATTCAGCACAAACTATACTTCCGATTTTGATTCTTAGCCTATTCTCACGTTAGTCACCTGTAGTATGCTGCTCTCTGGCAATACTGGATAGTCTTGGTGAGCTGCAGCTCCCTCGCAGTCCCAGGGATCATGAGCAAGAACCTCTGATACATTCAGGGTGTGCTCATGCAAGGCTGTGATGGTTGGTGGGAGAGGTACATTAAATGCGCTCTTTTTTTGTTTTTGTTTTGGGTACCGGGAATCAAACTCAGGACCTCATGCTTGCCAGGCAGGCAGTATGCCACTGAGCTATATCCTCAGCCATTAAATGTATTCTTAAAATATTTTGATGGCTTTGTTGAGGTGTAACACATCCTAAATCAAAGTGTGTGTGTGTGTGTGTGTGTGTGTGTAAAAGTAAGACATTTACTATAAGGTGTCGGCTCACCTGAGTGTAGGACTGACAAGCCTGAAATCTGTGGGGCAGGTATGGGTGCTGCCATTTGAGGAGGGCTGCTTCTCCAGAAAACTTCAGGTCTTGCTTTTGTGGCCTCCAGCTGATAAGTTGGTCCCACCCACACTGTCACCTTGTGTGAACTCACTGCAGATGTGTTTGTCTCCCAGGTTAGCACCATGAGCTCAGTTCTTCCGCAGATGCACACATGCTGGCTGGGACCCCAGGGCCTCCTCTCTAGGGTATTGTGACCCTTACCCTGTCTGGTTTGGGGGCATCGCCAGGGCACATGACTTCGCTTGCCTGGCTCTTCCCACATGCTAAGCACCATACAATGTCTTTGCCGTAAGCAACAGGTCTGCAGGGCCGTGCTGGGATAATTATTTTAGAGGTGGTTTCTGCTGCCAGTCACCCGGCTGTGCCCACACTTGTGGGCAGAATGTTTGCCTCTGAACTGAAATCTGATGAGCTTTAAATGCCCCCTCAAGGTTTTGCCTTCTGTCAATGATGGGCACTGGCTTTATCTAACAGAAAGACAGACTCATGGAAGTGACTATGAGACCCAGCCAAGCCCCCTGGGAATGTGGAATATAAGGGGTAGGGGGCAGGTTTCCAGGCTCTGACCTTGTAGAATTATCTGCTGCTGTTCAAAAAATTTTCCTTGATGCCTCTGGACAGAGCCGTTGCTCATTTAGGTTCTGGAACTATAACTCCATCATGATAAAACAGCCAGGCTCTCTAGGGGGAGCTTCATGGTGTCAAAGTGGAGCAGTGTGAGTTGAGAGACATCACAGCTGCCTTTTGCAGATCTGTGACTGGACACTTCAGCACAAGGCCTTCAATGATACAAAGTCTGTAGAAACCCACTACTATACTCTGCAGCTGACACTTAATTCCCATGTAATTTCTCATCTGCAGGTGGCGATCATAGCAGGCAACTTTGAGCTGGCAGAATACATCAAAAACCACAAGGAGACAGATATCGGTGAGTAAGCTCATGGGCAAACTATTCAGTTTGGCTAAGGATATGTTCACCAGCTTTCCGGAATCCTCCTGAGATTGGTTCAGAGCCCACCATTAACAAACTCTATAGAGAATTTGGCACGAGCACCCCTTCTGCCTCTGGTGCTGTTTTCTTAACTTATGGCAGGGAGGGGTAAAGAAGACCCTGGAAACTGGGCATTGGTCCAGAATATGCCCCCTGCTTCTTGGGAGCGTGAGCCTGTTATCTCTTCTGAAGGTTCCCATGACAAGATTTCCCTCCACAAGAGTGTAATTGATGTGGGAAGGCGGAAAGAGAAACAGGAAATATTTTATCTATTCTGGCAGTTGGAACTAGGAACCTCTGATTTATATCTCTGATTTCCTCAAATACTGATAGAAATTGATCTGCATTATTATACCTTTGTCCAAACCTGTAGAATGTCCAACCCCAGCGGTGAACCCTAATATAAACCATGGGCTTTTGGTCAGGTGTTATATCCATTAGTGGGGACGAACGTATTGCTCTTGTGGGACATGTTGACCTTGCGGAAATGCTGTGCATGTTGGGGTTGGGAAGATATCTCTATACCTTCCTCTTTGTTTTGCTGGGAGCCTACAACTGCTCTAAAAAAATAAACTCTTCCAAAAATCTAAGAAAGTAAGAAACTAGGCAGGGAAACTTACAAATTGTCAAAGGGTAGATACAGGGCCGTGTTGTTCCATCAATGGGTCAGATTAATTTGCAGGTTGTTTAGTTGTGTTCATCGGAGGCATCATGATGTATATGCTTCCACATAGATTAGGGGTGGCAATGGAATCAGGAGAAGAGAGTCACGGGTCTCTCCCCTCCCCTCTCGTTGCTCCACTTTGCTTTCCCAGCAATGGTGCTGATGACCATTCCCCTTTCTAGTACCCCTTGTGCCAACCAGGAGGGCAGTGTCTGGGGCTCCTCCCCGTGCCCACCGCCCAGCCATTGGCTGGGCCCAGTCTTGCACCTTGGATGAGCCCACTGGCCTGGTCCCTCCAGCCCCGGGCTTCCACAGGACCTGCAGCGGGGAACAGTCCTATTGGACCAACAGTGGTGAGCTTTCAAGGATGGCATCATTGATCAATGGGGTTGGAGCGGGGCTGAGAAATGGTGGGAAGGAGTCTGTCTCTCATTGTCTGTGCCTTTGCCCCGTTTTGGGTGCTAAGAGTGAGCAAAACTCTGCTGTGTGGCTGTCCCGTCTTCACTGTGTCTGGTGTGTGCCTTGCACTAACTCTGGCTGGCCCCTCTACTGTGTGAGGAATCGTAGGAAGATGCAGAGACAGATGCTTGGCTTGCATCTTCCCACACCCCACAAGGAGCATCAGACCTCCCAAAAGCTGTGCTAATACTGATGTTCATCCCTCCTGTGAACCAGGGCAAATCACTTAATTGCTGCGAGCTCCAGGCCTCCACCATAGCTGCATCAGCACCTCTGAGTGCATTATAGAGATGGATGGGTTAATGTCAGCAAAGTGATTTAGAAAATGTACTGAGCTCTTAAGATGCCCAAGACTGTCTTCCTGCTGCCTCCTGGATACCAGAAAGCAGTGCAGTGAGACAGGCTGGGCTTGAGGTCTGAAACACTGTGGCCAAGAAGGGAGTCAGTAAAGGGTGGTGATCAGTCTCCAGGGCAGGCCCTACGTACAACAGTGGGGATTGTTCACATGCCCCAGGATGCAGGAACCTAAGAGCCCATAGCTCTCCAAGCTGTCTACCACAGTCATGAGCTCTGGGGTCTCATTATATTTATTAACTGGCAACCTTGACTGGGACCTGTGCAGCCAAGCAAGAGGCCAGTGTGCTTCCTTCACCTGCTCTCTGGATGAAGCAGAGACTCAACTCCTCTTCTGCCGGAGCCTCTCCTAACAACTCATAACCCTTCCGTCCTTTCCTCAGACAAAAGGATCAACCACCAAACTATGAAAGACAAAGCTCCCAGGCCAGGTCACTTGAAGCTGATGTTAGAATCCAGCTTGGGGAGAAGATTGGCTTGTCTCTTCAATTTGAAGAGATAGTTAGCTTTCCTATCTGGATGCGAACACCTTATTCAAACTGAAACCTTTTTTATTATTACAAGAGATACCTGTTTGGCAGGCAGATCTAGTTAGTGACCAGTCATCCATTGTGATGAATTATTTGAACTGCAAACAGCGTCCCCTACTGAGCGAGAACCTTCTCTTTCTGCATGTCACAGGCTGGGTTTGGGGCGTGAACCTTCTGATTCTGCCCTTTTGTGAACTATATGGGCCTGTAGTGAACACAAGTTTCCTGTTACAACCAGATGATGAACTTACCTGCTTCAGGGGCTTTTTCAGGGCCCCAAACGGAAAATCTGTACTCCCCACAGTGTCCCTTCTGCATCTCCAAGAAGTTGCTTTGTTTGTTTTGGTTTTTTTAGACTTCTTTCCATCTGAGCTGTCTAGAGATTTATGATTGTGTTCTAGCAAACTGGCACCAGTGCAAACTGTGGCTTAAAACTGAGTAGAAAGCCTCCTGGGGGAGGGATGAAGGGCATGAGGGCTATGAGTCCTGAGTCAGTGCTGTGTTAACTAAACCACTAGGATTGAACCCACTTACTTCCACTCCACCTGCACACCTGCTCCGCACCATCCCTTATTACCAGCGGGGCCACAGGTTGGGTGTATGGCAAAGAGGGGCAGATGCTGTCTGTCCCCATGGCCTGTGTGTGTTTGTACCAGTCTGTGCCATTCTCTGAGAGAGCTGCAAATTCTGGCTGATGAGAACACCTAGCACTTACTGAGTGCTGTGGGTCCAGCGTTTCATACAGAAAGACCTCTGCCTCTGGACGTGGTTGGCTCCCTCTTACCAAGGAAGGTCCTGAGGAGTGATGGAGCCTTAGAGTTGGCCTCTGCAGAGCAGAGCTCAAGGCAAGAATAGTGCAGGACTACAGTGAAGGAAATGCCAGGGCACTGGAAGCACAGGGAAGTTGGGAGGGTGAGGCACCAGAACAGGGTGTCAGTGAGCATCACAGCGTGGACCTGGAGGCCTTGTCCTTCTTGGGTCCTGGTGAAGCAATGAACACACTTTGGCTTTGCACCTCTGTCCCCAGGGTGGAGCTGTTTATGTATTTTCTCAATAGTTCAAATTTTTCTTTAGTGCAGGCTCGTTCTAGGTGCCAGGAAAGTCGTCTTCAGAGAGTTGCAGGTGCTGGTTAGCAGTGCTGTGCATGGGAACAGTGAGGCCAGGGCATGCAGTCAGGGCTCCCACAGCGCCTTACTTCTGTACTTGTTCAAAATCATACTTTCTATAGTAAATAAGCAAGCCAAGGCTCAAACCTGAGCCATCTCACTCTGAAGACAATCCCTATGCTCTCCTCCCAGCATATCCAACTGCCTCCCGTGGAGCAAGGACACTTCCACCCCATGGGAGAGCTGCCTACACAGGCTTGCCCCAGAACTCTGGTTGGAAAGGGTAGGAATAGGGTAAGAAAGGGTTCCCCAGCTGCTGACTTTCAGCAGGATGGGTCCCCCTCCCCATAGTTAAGCATCTCCCTCTCTGCTTTTTTATCCAGGCTTCATGGCTCTAGCTAGAGCCACCAGACTCTAGCATTGCCAGCTGTGGGGCAGCTCCTGCCATGCACTTACAGGGGAGGGGCAGAGCTGGAGGAGGGTGCAGCCTAGGGCTGCAGAGATGATCTAAGCATTGTTAGGGTAATGGACCAACCATCTGCCGCACAGCTCTCCTGGCTGGCATTTGTCAGGAAGTCTCTACTGCTCACAGAGGCACTTCACTGATGGCAGGCAAGTTACTCATCCTCCGTGCTGGAGAGAAGTCATTTTAAACAGAGCTGATCCTGCCCACTTTGGCCTCCTCCAGTGTCCAGAATAAGTGCTTCCCTGCAGAATCAATTGTTCTCTCTGCAGATCCTGGATTTGTCTTCAACTTCTGCATTTCAGTTTTAACATTTCAAAAAGAAATGGTTTCCCTGACTTTTCTCATCCACCAGTGAAATATTCAAAAACCCTGGGGCTGCTCCTTCCCAGCATGCTCTGCAAGGTCAGAGTGAGGGCCTGGCAGGGTCATCAGGAGCCCTCCCAGATTTGAGGGGATGCAGCCAGGTAGATACCTGCTCCATAGAGGAGGAGTGGAGCAGGGCTGGGATGTGAAAGTGCAGAGACCCCAGAGACGGCGACCCAGAGCTCCTGCAGGACATGCCTGGTCCCTTCCATCTGGAGTGGAACTGAGGGCTCCTGGTGCTATTCCCAGAGGGGCATCCTGTCTCCAGTCAGTATGCAGAAGTCCAAGCTGTACTTGAACATCTTTGGGGACCTAAAATAGCGGGTTCCTAGGAAGCCTGGACTGTCTCCCTGCTTCTTGTTCACAGCCTCTTCTGGGAGCGCTCTTCTGATCTGGGGATTCAGAAAAATTCTCAGGCTCTTTGGGAGGTGATAAGCACAGAGAATGGTGGCCTTTTGTCCCCAGCCTCACTCCAGGACCTTAGAAGTGTTGTTGAAAGGCCTGAAGCCCTTTACCTTCCCAGTTGGAGTGAGCTGCTCTCCTGTGTAGTGGGAGATGGTGCCTCACTGTCAGAAGACAGACTCACACTTTGCCTCTTTGACTTTTGTGACTTCTCCTTCTCCCCCATGTCCTGGTCCCAAGTTGTCCTGTATGCTTTTTCATTTTCTGCTACCATTAAGTCTTTTGCACTGCTAGTAATTGATTGCAGGCCAGACCTCAAGAGCCCCTCCTCTCCTCCCCACCTACCTCACCCCACCCTACTCCATCCTTCCCCACCCCATCCCACCCCATCCCATCTCATCTCTGTTCTTGACCCACCTACGTGAAGTCTCCAAGGCTTCCTAGTACCCTGTAACACCTGTCAGGTTTGGGGTACATCTGTGTCCCCTGGGATCTTATGTAGAAGGCAAATACCTGGAACCATCCTTAGAGTCTGCTTCTGTAGGCTTGGAGACCTCTGGAGTCACTGATTCAGGATGCTGTGGTAATTCTGA